AAAGTAAGAGCTAATTCAAATGAAGTACCCACTCATCATGGAATCATGGCATTTGAGCAAATCAGTTAAATTAATGATTCAATGGCTTACTCATAAAGATGGTTCTAGGTTGAATCAGGATTTTTGAACAAATCGGTTGAGCGAATGACCTTATTAACTCACTCATAAAGCCACTCATAGCCCTAATAGTGACCTAATAGTTTAGTCACCAAAAATTTCCACCAATAATGGATGGAATGACTGTAACGGAAAGTGACTTGACTTGGAATGCTGTTCAAGTAATCAAATTCAAGTATTATATATATATATATATATATATATTCAGCTTGCATTCAGGTTTGGCCTGACACTGCAGCCAGCAACATACGTTTGGCATTATCATGTAGGAAACTAAAGGTTTGAGTGTAGCAAATAGCATCGGTCTCCTGAGATGCAGCTGAAGCACAATACGTGCACTTCATACATAAAGTTTTCTGAAGCTTGTTGGAGTCTTAGCAAGGAAAACAGACACCTTTGAACTCCAGTGATTCAGATAGCCCTGCTCCTCAAATCTGTTTTACTGATGATCCTTTGCACTCCGTACTCTCCCCTCAAGACAAACAAGCCGAACAACTGAACACTGAATTTGACATGGGCTGGAAAGGAAATATCGAGTGATTGTTGTTGAGACTGGCCATTTTCGTTTTGGAGAGACAAAAGACGAACAGCCAAAGCGTCGCACAGAGAAAACAAACACTATAATCTGAAACACTGGCACATACAACAGTGGAATCTCAAGCAAGAACGTACAATAATCTATTCCAAGCAAGGACTTTGTTATTTAATTTACAATGGCTATACCTGAATACTTGTGTTTCAATGTGAAATGAATCAGACAAGTGGAATGTGTAGCACAGAGGCTAGAAAAACATGAGTCGTTTAAAATAAGCACAACAGCACATCACAGAGTGGCATGAATCTCTATTCTATCTATCTAGGAAATGGCACGAAGCAGAATTCCTTAAATGCCACAGATGGACATCAGCCCAAAATAATGGCAAATATTACAATGAATTGCATTGGGAATTAGAGGAAGAGCATATGGAGACAAGGCAAGATTCACACAAACAGCATCTGTGGCATTCTGTTTGAAGGACTTCAACACAATGTGGCCCTGCTTACTCAAGTCCCTATGCCCCGGTGGTGCTGCCCGCCACCTGACTCCAGAACAGGAATTATCTGCCATGGAATATCTTATTCATTCCTGTTTACACAGTCCACTTCCACAAATACATGAATTGTGTGTTTTTTTTTTTTTTGATGGTCAATGCATTTAAGCAAACTTAACCCCAGACTAAGGATTTTTTATTTATTTATTTATTATATGTTAATGTAAAACAACATAAACATACATCTTAAAGGAAAAGTTATGTAAATTCTCTCAACATCAATGAAGTAAAGGCTGATAATGAAGGAGCTTTTGTGGTTCAGAATGACGAAAAGCATCAAAGAAGCAGTTCATAGTATTTGTGTGCTATATTTCATACCTTCTGAAGAAATTTGTTAGTTTTCTTGTATATACTGAATCACAGATTTTTCAATTTACAAGACCTGTGATCTTCTATGTTAGCCCCCCTCTCTGATCTATTGGTTACATGCTTAGTTTTTCAAGAGACAGCGAGAAGTTCCAGCTATGTGATCATTTGGTTTTGTTATAGTATAAAATCCCTCTTATTCACCAGTCACCTCATTTTAAACCTTGGTTTGTATCTTATTTTAGTGAAAATGTCCAGAACATTCTCTTTTGGGCCAAATGGCTCACACAAATGAGGGTGAATTTCCTCTTATTATTCACTCCATGTGTACTACAGCAAAACAGCTTGAATTGCTAAAATTATTTCTATTACGTATGTTGAAAAATTGATTTTTGGGTACAAATATTTGGCCTATTTCCTTTCACCGGCTCTCACTGAATAAGAAACCTTGATCTTTTGTTCCTTTTGTGTGATACCGTGTTGCCCTCACAGGAATGAGATGTGCAATTGTGCAGTGGGTTACTTCCCTCTGTTCTTTCTTTCTCATTGAGTGCCCTTGTTCCAAACCTCATGCATTGTTAAATGAATTGCATATTTCACCCACCTGAAAGCAGAATATCTGGATAGTTTCAGGACATCTGGACACTCCACTCAACACAAAAATAAAAACATGATTATATTACCAAACACTGAAAATGCTGTCAGGTCACTGATTAGAAAAACAAGTGTTATCCCATTTGGATGTGGCCACATGATGACTTTTGGTTCTGGTTTCTCAGCCAAATAGTAAATGACCTTATCAGTCTGTGCGGAGTTAATAATGGGTTTCAATCATAATCAATATTTTTTGCATTGTGAAATGCAAAAAAAAAAAAAACTATTGTGTGACAGATAGATTTGAGACAATTAAGAAAGCAGAGTATAGCATTTTTGTTCATTGTATTTGGACTGATGAGAGATGTTTTTCCACATTAGTTCACTGAGTTTTGTCCAAGAGACTCTTGTGATTTTAGAATGCGTTCGCACATAATAACGCTATCAGAGTAATGCACGGAGACCTGGAATTTGTGTGGAAACAAGAAGAATGTGTTAACAGTTCCAACGAAACTGTATATATTTTCTGGCACATTATCACAAGCAATTTATGCTTTGGTGTATTAATTCAGTCACAGTGTGTATCCAATTAAAATACTGTAACAGGCAAAGTGAAGTGTTCAGGTGCTGCCATCTGGTGACTGAATCTGGAAACTGTTAATTAAAAACTATTCATTTTTCTCCCAAAACTATTTGATTTGAGTGTTATTACACTATGTAACTTTCTTTCTTTCTTAACCCAAGTAGCCTTGCTACATTACACACAGAATTTCAAATAACAAGTTAAAAAAAAACATTGGAGAGACACATTTGATGCAGTTTAGTACCAAACACACTCCAAAACACCTGGTTGTAATTTTCAAATAAACCCAAAGCGCCTGATTCTGGTTCAGGTATGTTTGATTAGAGGTGGAATCAAATTCTGACTGTATGTGGCTCTCAAATTAGCAGAAATGAATAACCCTGACCTGAATGATTGTGCTTCCTTTAACCCTCTGGTATTGTTCGGTCATTTTAGACCGGAAAAAAAAAGTTTTGAAATTTAAAAAAATCGCTACTTCGTCGTAATGATACAAAACTCGCTGACTTTTATGGCAGTCACTATGTGATCACAAGAAAGAAAGAAAAAAGAAAAAAAAAAACGTGGACTTGATTCGAAAAAGCTAAATGGTTGTTAAAAAAAAGTCACACTTGTGTTGTTCGCGGTCAAAAATTACCGCCATTCGAAATGAATGGGAAATACGCAAAAATACAGGGATTTTTTTTCTTTGCATTCACGATGCAGAAAAATGTGCAGAGCA